TTTTTTTTTTTTGGTGTGATTATTAATAAAATTCGATTAAATTAAAAGTTCCAAAATCAAGTAAACCTAACTTAAATTCTTAATCTAACGATATCAAGGATATCGTTATCGACTACAGTTTCAATATAAATATGAATATCATAAATAAAATATTTATATCCACTTAAAGAAGTTTTCCTAACCTTTCCCTTTGAAACGTGCTCCACGAAATCCTAACATGCTCCAAACTCTTGAACGAAAGTGTATCAAACGGTAGATCATCTTCCAAACTCGAAATCGACCACGATTCGTAGCTTGAAGTACTGTCTTCTTTGGTCACTATCGATTCGAAGATAAATCGCTCTCTTCTATGACGGTAGGATATCGAGTTCAAGGACACTTTGTGTACTGGGCGACAAGCCATCTTCGCTTTTGTGCATCAAGACGTTCTTCAAATCCCTCAATTTCTGCGGCTGGAGCGCCACAGCTGTGTTCCTGGGCAGAGTGGCGATCGGATTCGTGCTATGGCTCTTAAAACTAGTTTTCTCGTATCGATTGATCCCCTTCTCTGATTCTGAATTATACCTTTGCTTCGCCGTCAGCTCTATGTTCGGTTGTTTCAATACAGAGTCCCTATCCTCAAAACAGGGAACCGTCTGCATGGACACGGTGTTCCTGCGATCATTGAACAGAGATCTGGGATTCAGAGTGACCTCTCTGGCCGAGCCGAAGTGCTTGAAATTGGTGGAAATAGGGCTGTTCATGAAGCTGGTGTCCACGGGACGGGGCTCGGGAACGCGTTTCTCGATCTTGATCTCGGTGACGTTCTGCCGTATGAGAATATCGGGCGCCGCTTCTGGCAACGGTTCCTGCGAGATCGGTGGCCATTTCAAATCGCGCGCCATGTCGCGATCTATCGCGAGGAACTTTCGCCTGGATTTGTCTACGTTGTGCCAACGGTACCGTAATTTCCTAAAAACGAGGTAGTCAACGAACAAGTATTCCATCAGCAACGAGATAATGAAGTTGGCGACGCCGTAGCCAACCAGGATGAAACGGAAGCTGACGCTTTCTGGAAGGATCAGCTCGAACCAGTCCCGCAGCCACTCGAAGGGGAAAGTAGCGAGGTAGACAGAGAACATGGTGAGGAAAATGAACGACATGAGCAGACCGTAATTCGTGAACAGAGACTTTCGGTATGGATGGCCTTTTGAAAATGTCACGGCTAGGATGATGTACTGCATGGAGCTGATTATAAAAACCGTGTAATTCTCGGTACAGCTCACGTCGTCTTTGTTTTCAGCGATCGTAGCATTGAAGGGCACGAACGAGTCCATCTGTTCAAGATGCCATAGACTAACGGACTGGAATAGAGCCACGATCAAAATTTGCGTGACTAAACTAAGAATCGGGGTGGTACTAATAAGACTGTTCAGAGGAGCTGTCTTCACTAACGGACCATCATAAGCCTCGGTACGACCAAAGAAGAAAGCGAAGATCGAAATTATGAACAGATCTATGTAGAGAAACTCGATGTCCGTCAGATTCGATTCGATACCGTATAGCAACATCACGGAGATGAATTGAGTGAGCGAGTAACTGGCCATGTATTTAAATATTCCGAAGGAAGTGACCAGGGCTGCACGACCTTCTCGAATCACGGTTAATACGCAAGAGATATTTGTCTCGCGGCTGGTGAACGGTGATGCTACCGAAGATTCAGTGTCGGAAAGAGAAATTCCAGTGTGGGCAGCCTTCAAGGCTCCGCAATCGTTTGCCCCATCGCCCACCATAGCTGAAAATAATATTTGAAATGAACATTTTCAGTCAAAATAATGTAAACATTCAAGAAGGAATTAGATTACATACCAACGTAGTATCCCAAGGATTGCAATTCCTGAACCAGCTGTTGCTTCTGGTCTGGCGACATTCTCGCGAAGATTGCTCCTCGGGTGACAAGTTTGGGAATCAGTTCTGGGTAATATTGTTTGACTAGTGCCCACGTTTTACCCGTTAGTGCAAACACGTATTTGTTTTTCGAATGTTGTAAGCTGAAACGCGATGGTGGAGAAAAAAATCAGGCATTTTTTAAAAATGTGAATTGAATTTAATTCAAATGCAAATCTGATCCTTTAGTTCAAAATTAAAATTAATTTACATGTAATTTTAAACTGTAAGTATGCCCAACTATTATTTTTAATAAAAAAAATATTAAATTTAAAATATTAGACTTAAAATTAATTTAATCTGGTAATTAATAATTAATGTGATACAGCTTTATGAACTTACTCATCGGATAAATAATTGACATCGTTTTCGAATTGATTGTTCCCAAAGGAACCACTCTCGACTGTTTCCAAGCTAGCTACACTATTCAGATCAGTCATTTCGCTGAGATCCCCGTGTCCCGTCGATGGCTGACTGTTATTCTTCGTGAAGTAGATCTGTGGTTTCATCTGGTTCTGCTGAGTAGCAGAGACTGCGATGACCGGTGTACCTGGCTTCACGATGTCACAGTCTCTGGCAACGGATAACGCGGTCAGCATGTTGTCGCCAGTCACCATGACAGTTTTTATACAGGCAGTGTTTAATGCACTGATCACAGGCGTGGTTTCTGGTTTCAATCTGTTCTCCATGATCACGAACGCTAAGAATGTCAGATCAGATTCGGCAGACTCGCGACTCAATCGCTGAACTTTGGCGTAAGGAAGACGATTCAAAGACTTGTGTGCGAGACCGATCACACGATAGCCTTCCGACGTATAATATTGTAAAACGCTGCCAAAATCTGGTGGAACTGTAAAGACAATAATACGATTGATAATAACTTGAAGAAGATTAACCTTTTCATTGGATAAAACGGAATCTTTCTTTGAAGGTAATTTTTTGAAAATCAGTATTAATGCTATGGTCTCAGCAATTTTATTCACCAAATTTTATAAGTCTGTATCATTCCAAATATAGTAATTTCAACGTAAAAATCTCCCCGATTGGTAGGTTAAAAAAGAAAAAGTTTATCGCAATAACTTACTGGATTCTGTTCTGGAGAGGCTGAGAATCATTTCCGGGCTACCCTTGCAGTAAAGATCGTAATGATTAGCTCCCAAGGTCCTGGTGATCACGCTCATCCTTTGAAGACTAGATGTAAATGGAAATTGACGAACGATCCCGATTTCTAAACCTTGCTCCCCCAATTCCGTTGTGGAACCAGCCAACGTGGTATCGAGGTTGTTCAAAGAGATATTGTCCATCACGTCAGAAGACATGGAGTTTTGTCGGCTTATCGAGATCCTGATTTCGTTAGGTATCTTCTTCAACAACTTGGAGCCCTTCGATGGCCGTACTATCGTAGGGAAAAGCATGGAAAATTTCGACGTATCGGATACATCGGGCTCTTCTAAAGTCCAACCCGTAGATTCAAACATTTTTAGGTCAAGTGGATCCCCTACTAGTTGATTCTCTATTATAGTGATCCCGTGACAGGTCACCATTCCGATGAGAAGATCGTTCAAAGGCAAGGATGTGATATCTTTGATAGCTGGCTGAAACTTCTTATCGACGGTGGACACCACGCCCCACATGTCGAGGCCATCTTCGGTCAGCGTTCCAGTTTTGTCGAAGCAGATGCAATCGATCGATCCCGATACATTAATGGTCCTTGGGCTGGTGCAATAAATCTTGTTCTTCTCAAGTCTACGCTGCGCCACCAGTCGGCCAACGGTCATAGCCGCTGGTAAAGCTGGCGGTACTACTATCGTAATTAAATCTAACGCTTCCAGAGTAATGTGATTGCTTGGAACGCCTCTAATGGCCTTTGTAACGATGGTATAAATCACACCGATGCTAGCTATAGCAGCCAACAACACGACGAACTTGTACGAATCTTGCTCAAACTTGAAATCCACGGGTGGAGGATACATGATGGATCTGACCAGTCCACCTTTGCTAGTGTTGAATCCGGTTCTCACAACGACAGCTAAAACCTGCGAACAAATTAAGACCGTTCTTCGAAAATGGACTGGCAATTTGTATGTGTTTATGGAAAATTTAGAAGCAAATAATATATGAAAATAACACAATTACATTTAATGCGTGAAATCAATTTTTGCTCGGAAACAATTTTTTTTTCAATTTTATGAACAAAAATATTCGTGTATCTAGTTACCTTTTCCGAACCGTAATATCTCGTTTGAATGACTTTAGTACCACAGAAGAGCGTATGCCTTGCGTGTTCCTTAGTGTCGTATATTATTTCATTGGACGAAGGAATAGGTGTTTTTGTGACAGGAACCGATTCTCCGGTCAACATAGATTCATTCAAAATGCAATTCCCAGTTAGAAGTACTGCATCGCAAGGCATCAAACAGCCATGAGATGGAATAATTAAAATGTCGCCAGGTACTAATTTTTCAGCAGGCACGGTTGCAGTTTGCCCGGTCACGCGATCTCTCATCACCGTTGCCACGTCGGAAGAGTGCACGGTGGATCGTAAGTTGCGTTGATTCTGTCAAAAAGATCATTATTTATTAACAGATTGTGGATTTTTATGCATTAGGATGCAATAATGTAGAGAATGCACACGTTATGCAAGAATATAAAATAAAAATAAGTACATAAAATAAGAATATAACATGTTGAAAGCAAAGTATTTGTTACAACATTTAACATGAAATTGCAGAAAGATGTGCAATCTAATTACATACTCGACGAGTCTGGATGACTGCCATAATTACGCCGATGCTTGACATGAACAAGATAACCATAGCATAATAGTAATAGTTATCGGCAACCCAGAGACAAAAACTAAACAGCTGGAAGACGTAGAATGGATTGAGGACCTCGAGACAGAGTAGTGTTATAATGCTCTTTACTGGAATCA